CGGTGAACCAGGCGCGAGTGCAATGCTTTGCAGATTAAAAACCTTTTATATAAGAATATTTAAGGTTGTTTTTTATATGGCATATATGGTTGTTGTTTATAGGTATATTCAAGTTGGGGTCTGTTCAAAGCGCCGTGCGGCAGACGTGACTTTTGGGCCATGACGCTCGAGCACAATGCAAAGCAATTTCAATTCGTGGTATGTGACTAAATGATAAATATTTGCGTTCATTTATCGAATAGACAAACGACAGCAACAAGCCCAACAATAATAACAATTTACTGTGATGGATCAGCGGAAGTAACTAACAAAAAACCAACCCAAATAGAACAAGTAAGAAAGTTCTAGACGGAAGTGACCGACTGGGCGGTACCCCGAGCAGATGCTATTTGAATCAATTGAATATTTTACTAGATAAGCAGATAGGTGTATAAGTCTTACATACATATAATCTCACTCACTTAACTTGCAATGAGATAAGGGTATCACATCTTAGTCACATAGTATTTGGGGTCCATGTAAAATATCGATATTTATCGATAATAAGCAATAGAGATAGGTTATATATATTGTTCAACTCATCGCATCATATTGATCAATAAAATAATATACATTTAATTTATACGCGCAGCCACGCCTCTTTCCCATACAGTCACATGCATTTTCATAAAAACAATATACCCTCTATCGTCATTTTCAATGGATTTAGGCCACAGCAAACAGACCTTTCAAATCGAACTCTCTAGTCAAGTGACTAGAGCTAATGCAAGCTAATTCGCAAGTTCGATTATACAATCATGACTAAATGTTAATCTAAGCACTAAACACAAACGACTTAAACATGCTCGCCCAGAGTATTTTATTTTATTCTTTATTAGAGCTACGTGACGTTCATTTGTTAGCTTCAGCAAAAAAATGAAATAAAATGCAAAAAAAAAAAAAAAAAATCATTAATTTGTTCGGCTATTTATTTTAATGACTCCGACTCACAAGCTCCTAACGGCCTGCCATTGTGCCGCTGAAACATCTTGCCAAAAGCTCATTATCATTCAAATTGAAGTTCGTCCAATAAATCACAATTATCATAAATAATAAGTTAAGGAACTAGAACGAACTTGCACAACAAATAACTTAAGGTAACTAGACTAAAACCACCAGCTATAAACCATATACGACTGCTTCTCGTCTGATCTTTCATTTTCAATATGTAAAGATTATGTCATTATGCAATCGATATCACGATCTAGCCATAAGCCGAACGTATCTTTGATTCGCATGCATCTGTATTCTCGTATATGTGCTTATAACTGTATTTGTATCCGCGTATTGGTTCGCATCTCGTGGTATGCATATTCATTGGTTGGCTGCGACTATTTCCATCTCATTCACACCAATCGACTCTGCCAATGCTCAAGGTCTCTAGCGAAAAAGAGTACAACAGAGAAGAGAACAATACCGAAATTACCCCACCTCCTCTCCTACACACATACGCTTTCACACCAAACAACACCCGCTATACGCTGCGCTCGGCTAGAAGACAAGTTTTGCAAGTAGCATAAGAAAAAAAACAACAAACATAAAACGCAATGCGAAACGAAAAAAAAAATCCAAAATTGAATTGAATTAACATGGGAAATATGCGCTCCTCCACTAGCAACAATAATAAAGGCAGCCGCAACAACAACAACAACAACAAGCACAAGAGACCAGCATGAGAACGCAGCAAGTGCAGCTGTGATTTTTCGCGTCTCTTATGTGCATGCTGTTCTTCTTGCCGTTGTATGTATGTATGTTGCTATAGCATAATGTTGCTGAGCTAACCCCTCAGTTAACCCCTTAGTGCGTAGTTTAAAACCAACAATAAAACTAGAACATTCTAAATATTGCACAGTGTCCTCAAAGGGTTAAGTGCTTATATGCATATACATATGTATGTGTATATAAATTGTATTTAAACCAAACATAGGCCCATGCTTATAGGACTGCATATTGCACCTAAGCAGAAAAAAGTTCAGCCTGTAAACATTGTATCTAAACATAAAGGAACTCTGTTGCTTACCTGTACACAAAATGCAGCCAAAAACGCGAAGCTCCATAGCCAACAATGTTGCCGAGCTGTTGTTATTGTTGATCTTGTCGTAGTTATTGTTGTTGCTGTGGCTTTCGGCTGTTTCTGTTGCTGCTGCCTTTTGAGTCGAATTCTCGTTGTTGCTTTGCTTAGCGTGTCCAACATTTTGTGGCCGTCTTGTTGCTGTTGTTGTTGCTTGTTGCTTTCTGTTGCTATCTGAACGCTGTTGTTTCAGTTATTATTTTTAATAATTTTTGCTTGCTCCGTTTTGCTTTTTGACTTTATCAATGCACTTTGGCTAATTTCTTTTAATTTTCGACATTTTCGAAACGGGAGTAGTTTTTGTTTTAAGCAGATTCATCGTTTGTTTTTGTTTTGTTTTCTTTTTGCTGTTTGTTTTGCAATTACAACTTAATTATTTTTGTATTAACTTTCCGCGCGTCATTCTGTGAGAGAGTAAATATTGGAGCGTGAGAGGGAGAGAGAGAAAAAGAGTTGTGCATTTACAACGCATACAAGTCTACACATAAGCGCAAGAGCGCCAACTAGACAAGCAAACACATCTGTGTGTGAGCATACGAGTAATGTATTTGTGTATGTGTGTTAATGTGTATGTGTTAGTTTGTATGAGAGCAGCTTTCAAGCCGAGCTCAGCGCAGCTTTTTGCTGTTGTTGATCAATAGCGCTCCCTCGCTCGCTCACTTGCTGCCCCTATCTGCCTCTCTGCTTCTTCTTGCAATGTGCGTTATGGGAGGCAGCGGCGCCTGCGCCAACGGTTTTCTGTTTCTGTTTGTTGGCCAAGCTTTCGATTTTTTTTATAGGTATTTATTTCTTTTTGTTAATGTTATTGCATTAAAATTTGTCAGTTTCCACAGAGCAAATATGACGTCACAGCACCAAAAAGCTGAACAGCAAAACCATACATACATACGAAACATGTATGCATATTCGTGCGAGCGTGCGTGTGAGTGTGTATATTTATAGTAAATACCAATAAAAAGAAATCAACAACTTTTACAGAAACCTGTATTTTTTGGTTTTTACGTTAAAGCTGTCTAGGGTCGAGTTGTTGGTGATTGTTAATAACATTGCCGTATGCAAAAAAGGCCTTCAACTCTGTTTCTGGTTGCATCGGAACGAGAGAACAACAGAGAGCAAAAGAGTGCGAGAGAACCAAGCACACATAGTAAATGGTGAAGAAGAAGAACGGGGCAAACCGTGAATGATGGCAGATTTTACACGCGCTCTCGTAAAATAGACAATCTAAGAGAGAAAGAGATAGAGACAAAGAGACCCAAGCTAAGCTTAAGCCATTGTTCTGTTCATTAATAGAACTACAACAACAGCAATAGCTAATCAACTTTAGAGCTTGAGAAACGGCAAGTAAACAATAACAATGCAAAGCTCAGAAAACAAGTTTTTTGGGTAAATTTTGTTTTTAAGCGAATTTGGGACAAGTTTCTAACCACAATTTGAATACACATATTTACATATATACATGTACATAAGTACATAAGTATATACAACAATAATAAACATTGTTTAAGCACCACAATGTTTGTCAAATTCATTCACAAACACTGGTGAAATTTAAAAAAGTTTTTTTTTTTCAAATAAAGAGAAATAAACTAAGGAGTAGAAACCGAGAGACGATTGCAAAACGGCGCCAACAGAGCGCGCTTTAGTGCGAGGGGGAGGCAGTGCATTGGCACGCAAAAGAAAGCGACGGCACGCAAAGGCAAGAGAAGGAAGAGGAGGCGGCGGTGCGGCGACACAAACAAAAAAAAACGGCTTATGCTGCCGGTGTTGCTAGTGTTGCGTAGGTGTGTTGTTGTTGTAGCTTTTGTTGTTGCGACAAAAACTCTCAATTTCTGCTTTTACTTTACAGCGACTGCTGCTGCTGCTGCGCTACGCTTTGCTACTCATTTCTTGGCCAAAAACAAAAAAGTAGTATGTGTGTATGTTAATATATATTAATGACACGAACTTTTCTTGTACAATATTTAAACATATATCTATGTATGTGTGCTTTCATATATTTATAAATATGTAGCTGCGTTCAAATTTATTTTGCTAACCGTCGCCAAAAAAAAACAACACAAACATACAACAAAAAAACAACAAAAAACGTACACTCAGACGCAGAAGCACACACATACAAACGTAAACATACACGACGGTGACGACGACCGCGACGGACAAGCACAGCGGCAAAACAGAAAACGGACGACGATGAAACTGCGACACGTAACTGAACACGTTCACGGCCAAAACTCGACTGAGCATCGGGCTTTGTAGCGGTGGCTGCGCTGCCTGCATCGCAAGTCGGCTGAGCAAGTGTCTGCGTGCGTGTATTTTAAGTGTTTGTGTGCGTGTGTGTATGCGCTTATGTATATAGGCTTTAGCGTTTGTGTGGGAGATGGCTCCCGGTGCGCTGGGTGGATGTTTCTGTAGCAGCGTTGCCATACTTGGCGCGTGATTTCAAATTTGTCAACGGCAGTGCTGGCTAACTCCTTATTAACAATTTTAAATTGAAAGCTGCCGTTTTGAAAAGTTGCCGTACGCAGTCAGAATATAATAGAATATATAAATATATAACTTACATCATACTTGTTATATTTAAAGATATGTATTCATTGATATTATTTTAATTTATTTCATAAATTAAATGAAAAAACATAAGCATTAAATGATAGGCTAATTAAATAAAAAATGTTTGCACACTCGTATATCTAAAAATATTAAAATATAATTTGAATTTAAATTTTAGTGTTGGACAATACCGATGATTCGCGTGAAGATCGATATGTAAATAGGCATAGTGCCGTGCCCTAATCGGCTTATTGCACGCAACGAGACTATCGATACGATACTTGCATCCCTATTTTTAGTGTTTCTTTAATTTTTTGCGCACCACTAACTCGAGCCAAGGCTGCACGGTTTTTTTTGCAAATACCCTCTGCGTTTATATTTATTTGCCGAATATAAACTTTGTATTAAAGTTGAACGCGTCCGTTTAAACGAGTATTGAAAACAAGTGCGATAAGACGCGGCAATACAAAGATTTACGGCAACACAATCAAAAAGAGAAAAAGACCGGCAGCAGCTTCCACACAGACGCATACACACAAACACTTACATACACGTATATACGCATACACATGTAGATTAATCTATGAGTGTCGCTAAAAACAAGAATCATCTCCCATTGTGCAAAGACAGCGAGCGCCAGTGAGAGCGAGTGAGCGAGAGAGGAGGAGGAGGTGGAGCAGAAGTAGTAGTAATAGGTGTCATCATCAACACATTTAGGCCATGAAGAGCGTACTGATGGTGGCCGAGAAGCCTTCGCTGGCTGCGTCCCTTGCCGGCATTCTCTCCAATGGACGCTGCACGGCAAAGCGAGGTTAGAGACGTTAAATAATAATAACAAATTAGCTGTTAATCTGATTGATGGGAAGTGCGCTGATTGATCAACTGAAGAGCTTGTCTCAGGCTAACGCTATGTGCTTAAACTTCTGTCTAATAGCCGACAATCTAAGCATCTGCTCATCGATACAGATATACAAATATATACATATATGTAAATTTATTCATACAATATACCCTCTATATAAACAGGGAACAACGGTTGCTCCACTCACGAATGGACCGGACCCTTTCGTAACGAGGGGAACGTACACTTCCGCATGACCTCGGTCTGCGGCCATGTGATGTCGCTCGATTTTATTAGCAAATATACCTCATGGGATAAAGTGGATCCCGTCCAGCTGTTCGATTGCCCAACAGAGAAAAAGGAATGCAATCCCAAGCAGCAGATGCGTTCGTTTCTGTCGCATGAAGCTCGCGGTTGTGACTATCTCGTCTTGTGGCTCGATTGCGACAAAGAGGGCGAAAACATCTGTTTCGAAGTGATGGATGCAGTGCAGCACGTCATACACAATGTGTACAGCAAAAATGTCACATATCGCGCGCACTTCTCGGCCATCACGGACAAGGATATCAAGGGCGCGATGGAGTCGCTGGGACATCCCAATGAGAACGAGGCCAAATCTGTGGATGCACGACAGGAGCTGGATCTGCGTATCGGCTGTGCCTTTACGCGCTTTCAAACGAAATTCTTTCAGGGCCGCTACGGCGATCTGGACTCATCGCTCATCTCCTACGGCCCCTGTCAGACGCCGACGTTGGGCTTCTGTGTGAAGCGACACGACGATATACAATTGTTTAAGCCCGAAACCTTTTGGTATTTGCAACTGCTTGCCGGCCAGCCGGAGGTAACGCTCGAGTGGGCGCGCGGGCGTGTCTTCAAAAAGAATATTGCCATCATGCTGCTGAATCGCGTCAAGGAGCACAAGGAGGCGACGTAAGTGAAGCCTCAATTCGCATCTCTGACTCACATAATATCGCTCTCTTTCTCTCTCTCTCTCTCTCTTTTTTCTCTCTCTCTAGCGTGGAGAGCGTTAGCAGCAAGGAGGCATTTAAGAGCAAGCCTCAGGCCTTGAACACGGTGGAGCTGATGCGAATCTGCAGCTCTGGCTTGGGCATTGGTCCGTTTCAGGCCATGCAAATTGCGGAGCGTCTATATACTCAGGGCTATATCAGCTATCCGCGCACAGAGACCAATCAGTATCCGGAGAACTTTGATCTGCACGCCGTGCTGCGGCTGCTGCAGCCGTCGGGCGATTTCGGCGACGAGGCTCGCGCCATTTCGAGCGATTTTCAAACACCGCGCAAGGGCAAAGATGCGGGCGACCATCCGCCGATAACGCCCATGAAGCTGGGCCAGCGCAACGACTTCGATCGGGACACCTGGCGGGTTTACGAGTTCATTTGCCGTCACTTTATGGGCACCATATCGCGTGATCTGAAGTATCGCACGACAACGGCCAAGCTGAAAGTTGGCCTCGAGACGTTCACGTGCACGGCGAATGTCCTGCTGGATGCGGGCTTCACGAAAGTCATGACCTGGCAGGCCTTCGGCAAGGATGAGGCAATGCCGCCATTCGTTCAGGGCACACAGGTGGCCATCAATGATGTGCGCCTGGCCGAAAGCCAAACTGGTCCGCCCGACTATCTGACGGAAGCGGAGCTGATCACGTTAATGGAACAGCACGGCATCGGCACCGATGCCTCCATACCCGTGCACATCAACAACATCTGTCAGCGCAACTACGTGAAGATCGAGACGGGACGCAAGCTGATACCGACGACATTGGGCATTGTCCTGGTGCACGGCTATCAGAAGATCGATCCGGAGTTGGTGCTGCCCACGATGCGCTCCGAAGTGGAGCGCATGCTCACGCTCATTGCCAAAGGATCGGCGGACTTCAATGATGTCCTGCGACATGCCATCAAAATCTTTAAGCTGAAATTCGTCTACTTTGTGCAGAACATCGCCAGCATGGATATGCTCTTCGAGTCATCCTTTTCGCCGCTGGCCGAGTCGGGAAAAGCGCATTCACGATGCGGCAAATGTCGTAGATACATGAAGTATATACAGGTATATAGACATAGAGAAGAGAATGTATATATATATAGAGATGTGGGAAATGATATCTATGTATGTCTACATAAAAGGTGGAAACAGATAGTAATGCATATTTTGCTGAAGGCAGAAAGAGAGAGAGAGAGTGGTAGAGTGCTGCTTATAGGTATGATTATATATTAGAGCTAAAGAATAATATGTGTGTATAGACATGAGATGAATCAATTTGGATATCGATAAGCCCAACAGATATAAAGATGCGTAGGGATAAGAAACGATATATTTATAGAGATAGAGATAAGAAAATAACGATATTGACAGAGATAAGATAAAAAATCTGGGTCTATGGATACTAATATAGAACAAATATAAAAAGAAAGTAATAGACATAGAAGAATGTAGCTATATAGATGGAAATGGGGAGAAATATGTTGAGCTGATAGAAAGAGAGAGAGAGAGAGAGAGAGAGGGGGGGTATATATATGATATTTATGATTCTATAGATAGAGATAGGATAAGAAAATGTATACGGGTAATATATATATATTAATGAGTATGTGTAGATTTATCACAGATAACAAAAAGTATAGATGTGAAGTGATAGATATACAAAGAGAGAGAGAGAGAGCAATGCATGTATACATGGATGCAGAGAGGTATTATAGGTGAGGGGTAGATCAAGGATATTGGATAAACATAGAATATATATAAAAAAAAAGAAATAGACAAAGATATATTTAAGGATATGGATGGTGAGACAGAGAGAGCATCTATGTATGGGGTGATTTGGAAGGTAGATGACAAATAGATAATAGATGATTGAGAGCAGAGAAATTTATGAATATGTACAATAAATAACGCTAAGACTTATCATAAATGTATATAGATAGATAGATAGCTTAGATTAATTAGCCATGGTCAAAGATTAGCCTAGAAATATAGACTTGGAGTACGCTGCGAAACGTGAATATGTACATAAGGAATATATCAAGTTATGTAGCTATAGTGAAAGATAAAGTAGATAAACCGAGCAGATAACATTTCAAGCTTGCCAGACTAGCCATAGCAAGCTCTACTTAATTTAGTCATAGTTCATCCATTCGAATTGATTTACAACTGGCTCTTCTATTGCCATCTCTTTCGCAGACGAAGCCCGCTCGCCTGTACTGCTCGCACTGCGACGACAACTATACGCTGCCCAATGGCAATGTGAAGGTTTATCGGGAATTCAAGTGTCCCCTGGACGATTTCGGTCTGCTGGCGTTCTCGACGGGCGTGAAGGGTCGCTCGTTTCCGTTCTGCCCGTATTGCTACAATCATCCGCCGTTCAGGGATATGCCGAAATTCGGCGGCTGCAACACCTGTACGCATCCCACCTGCCCTCACTCGCTCAACACGCTGGGCATATCCAGTTGCGTGGAGTGCGAGACGGGCGTATTGGTACTCGATTGCACACTGTCGCCCACCTGGAAGCTGGGCTGCAATCGCTGTGATGTGATCATCAATTGCTTCAAAGGTGCCACCAAAATAACAGTCGAAGGTGAGTTTTATCCATTAGCCATCTGTCTGAACTGAAATTGAAATATGATTGTGATTACTCCTCGCTCCTGGCAGAGAACAAGTGCAGCGAGTGTGGAGCACAGCTGGTGAATGTGGTCTACAAATCGGATAAATCGAAATTCAAGGATGGCAGCGAGGAGAAAAGCGGCTGCGTTTTCTGCTCTAGCGAATTTTCCCACCTGGTTGAGAAGCATCGGGCGGTCGCCTCGCGTCAGGTGCGCAGTGGCGGTCCCTCGCGTGGCGGCGGCGGCGCTGCCGGCCCAGGCGCTGGCAACGCACGTGGCGGACGACATGGTGGACGCCCGCCAAAGGATAAAATGGCACAACTGGCTGCATATTTTGTTTGATCAAACACTGCCCAACACTGGCCTCTAATTCAATTTGCATTTAACTAATCTAGAAATCGAGACTTGGCAGTAAATAAACAAAATTTGTATAAATAGAATTACAATTGATGATGTTCTTTTTTGGCTCAGGGTTAAGCCACTTGAAGCCAAACAGTGTTGAGTAATTTTAATGAGCTTGGATCCCAGTATATACGTACATGTATTTAGTGAATATATTTGATACTTAAAGCTGCTCAAGAGCTATAAACTGCGATTTTGTATAGCATTTTGTGTCTCAGAATATTAATTGAATTACACATTCGAAGAACGTATATTCATTAGGCCACCGTCCCTCCGAAACCTATGTTGCGTTTACCCTTCAATTAATATTAATTATTTCTTCTGACAAGTTTTAAGCATTGCATTATGTATTTGAGTGACATTTGAAACATATTAATAATCAATACCTGGTAAACGGGTGATTTAAATTTAGTATTTTTCAAACGTTAAATACCTCCATATTCTAACAATAATAAGTATCGATCGTGCAATGTGCCCTAAACGATTAATTTGCAGTACCTAATGAAACTTCTATATGCGCTATTCGTGGCTAGCAATTACTACAATATTTGCATATTGTTATAAATATATGTGACAATCTATGTTAACGAGTGCATATTAAAGTTTTAGCTTTTTTGCAAGGCACGAGCTCAAATCAAGGGCAGGTGACTGAAGAAAATATCGATACTTTCACCTGCCTATCCAATTATTTTGTCCTCACAAGTGTGGCATACCTAAATTGAAAACAACAATAATAACAATTACTTCAAAAGCATGAAGCAGTAGTAGTTGTATACGTCAGATTGATCTTTTTTTTTAAGCTCGAAAATTATTTGTATACCAAACATATAAACGTTTCGCGTCTATACCAGTATAAAAAAATATCGACATTCGTGCAGACTGTGAACGATTAATTTGTTCGTTGCATATGCTAATTCATTGTGCGATAACTCACGAAACGCAAGGTCGTTGCCGATAACAGCTGTTTGTGTCCGTCTGTTATTGTCACACAGTCCCATCACTAACATTGCTCTTGTCTAAAGAAATTTATAAAGATTTCGACAGATAGAAAATACAACATCAAACGAATTGAGCAGCGCGCAGGCAAAGGCATACTGCGACTCTTAACAGTACAGCCAGTGTACAATTAAATACCACACTCACGTTACACACAGATCAGTTTGTTTAAAATTTTCGTAAATCCAATATTGCCAGCCATCGTCGTCCCCCTAACCCCTCGAGCAGTTTAGCCATCAACGTTTGCAATGGACAAGCTCATCAAGATGACGAACCATCGTTCCGGGATAGTCGTGGGCGAAAAATACAGAATCATACGCAAAATAGGTAAGTGTAGCCAACCATCCATTTAGATATTTAGCAGCAGTTGCCCCATTTTTTTTTTCGAGGGTCAGGGCCAAATGCAGTTTGCCTGGATTTTTGATTTCTGATTTTGTGTATTTTGTGAATTTTGTGAATTTATGCATTTGTGTTTTTGTGATTTGTGCTATGAAAGTTGTGAAATGCAAATTGAAAATTGTACAATGTAAATTTTAATTTGAAATTTGACTTTAGGAAGTGGCTCCTTTGGCGACATCTATTTGGGCATGAGCATGCAATGCGGCGAGGAGGTCGCCATCAAGATGGAGGCAACCAATGCCCGCCATCCTCAGCTACTCTACGAGTACAAGCTCTATCGCGTCCTCAGCGGAGGTGTGGGCATTCCGCGCATTCGCTACTATGGCAATGAGAAGAACTTTAATATATTGGTTATGGATCTGTTGGGACCCTCGCTCGAGGATCTCTTTAATTTTTGCACACGTCACTTTACCATTAAGACGGTGTTAATGCTGGTCGATCAGATGATCGGACGTTTAGAGTATGTGCACAATAAGTGCTTCATTCATCGCGACATCAAGCCCGACAACTTTCTCATGGGCATTGGACGTCATTGCAACAAGCTGTTCCTCATTGACTTTGGACTGGCTAAGAAATTCCGTGATCCTCATAAGCGCATACATATACCTTACCGTGAGGAGAAGAACTTGACTGGCACAGCACGCTATGCCTCGATCAATGCCCACGTTGGCATCGAGCAGTCCCGTCGCGACGACATGGAGTCGCTTGGCTATGTGATGATGTACTTCAATCGGGGCGTCCTGCCCTGGCAGGGCATGAAGGCGACTAACAAGAAGCAGAAATATGATAAAATCTCTGAGAAGAAAATGTCCACGCCCATTGAGGTGCTCTGCAAGGGGTATCCGGCTGAATTCTCAATGTATTTGAATTACTGCCGCAGTTTGCGCTTCGAGGAGGCGCCCGATTACATGTATTTGCGTCAATTGTTCCGGTAAGTGATTCTCGCTCTCTCACTCTCACTCTCTCTCTCTCTCTCTATCTGTCTGTCTGTCTGCCTGTCTGTCTGTCAATGAGAACCTTTAATTGATTTGATTTGTTTTCGATTTGACAGCATTTTGTTCCGTACGTTGAACCATCAGTATGATTATATCTATGACTGGACAATGCTGAAGCAGAAGACCCATCAGAATCAGCAGCAGAGCGCGGATAATATGCTGACGCCGGAGCAGCGTGCCGAACGTGACAAGGAGAAGCAGAGCGGCAGCAAGCCAAACACATTGGCCGACTAAACGATGCTCGTTCAGAGCGATTTTAATAGCAGCAACAGGATAACACATCAAAATATAAAGGAAAACAAGTAAAACAGAAAAGAAATAAAAATAAAAACAAATTAAAAAAAAAAACAAAAAACAAAAAAAAAAACTATAATCGAATAAACAACAAGAAAAAAACAAAAGCAAAAAAAAAAAAATGGAAGATAAGAAAAAAGTAACAGCACTGGCTGCATTGCAGGACGAGCTAACCAGGATTAGTAGATGAGAGAGAGATATGCATATATAACAACAACAGCAGCAACATCAGCAACAATTTGTAATATATATATATATGTATGTATATACATATATATTTGTATAAATATACATGTGCGTATATACATATATGTATATACATATATATGTATGTAGTTTATTTTTATAACAAGTGCAAGGGCAGCAGCTATTATATGTATATAGAATTTAATGTTACAGAGATAGAACTCCCCGTTTCCACCCCCTCCCCCCCACTCTGTTTTCCCATCAGGACTCATTGGCTCCTGCAATGCACACGAGAACACAAACACAAACACACACACACACATACACATTTAAATATACAATAAACATATGTGTATACATATACATATGTATATATTCTATATAGTTGTTATCAATGATATAGTTGGGTCTGTTAACAGAGACTAGATCCAGGGCAGGCATATATATGTATATGTATATGTATAGGCGTATATATGCATAGTACATGTGAAGATATATATGTATATATATGTATGTATATGCATGTGTATTGGTGTCTATATATACATACGTATATATATATCGTATCATAAACACTCATTCATACACACACACAATTAGTTGTATTAGCTAACACAAACAAATTTGAAGCGCGGATGATGTTTTCTTTTTTCTTCTTACCCCCTTTGCAATCGCTTAAGTTACACAAAATTAACTGCAAACAAAAAAAAAAAAAAAGAGAAGAGAAATTGTATTAAACGTTGGTCTAATCAGGTGCACAATTCCGCCCCCGCTCCTTAAGCCTACCACGCCCCCCACACACACACATTTGACACTGCATCGAGTTCGCCTTTTCTCATTTTTATAACTTTTTCCTTATTTTCATAAGTCTTGAAGGACGAGCACAAAACAAAAATTCTTCGTTTTATCCGCAATAGCAACGAAAAATCATCAAATCAACCAGAATATATTATTATATATGTATTTTGCACATTCTACTCCATGTTAAACCAATCGTGAATCAAAAAACGTGAAAAAAAAAAAAAAAAAAACATTGCGCAAATTATAATTTCATAAAATTTCGAAATTTTCATCTTTCCCACATTTATTTTTTTTTTTCTGAACTGAAAGCAAAAGCAAGATCAATAATAATAATAATAAAACATAATAATAACTTAAAAGAAAAAAATTCTTAAAAAATTAAAAAAAAAACAAAAACAAATTATATAAATTATGAATAAATACAATTAAAAATTTATGCATTAAGCATACGAGTATGTAATATAACAAACAATTGTAATATTGTAATCTATTATTATGAGAAAGTTTACAAATAAAAACAAACAACAAGAAAATTACAAAAAAAAAAGTCCCCAACAAAATGCACGACATATTTTCAATTTACGAGTTGAATGAAAAAGTTGAAGTTGAAAACAATTCCAACATAGATTGATTGAGAAAACAACTGTAAATTGTTTATTCAGCATTTAGGTTGATTCATAGATTTGTTGATGGATTAGAAGTGGCGAAAAAAGTTATAGGATTAGTTTATAGAACTTACTGGGTTGATTGACTAATAGATGGACTGATTGATTCAACGAAAACTGATTGAAACTATAGTAAAAAGTAGATTATTTATATTGATTGATTGACTCAACAGCTTCTAAGCCTACTATATACATAATACCAATTGAGCTGTTCTGTTTATTGGCTCTATATAGGTTTCTATACGGGTTTCTGCAGAAAATCGCAGCAAATCTGGGAAGCCGAGCAGCGCCTGGTAACGAGAAAATCCTATATGTATATGTGACTTTCCACTCTTTTATTACATGTCAATGTTACCCACCCATTAAGCTGTATATATAAACATATTTTCGATCCAGTTGTTGAGCCAGCGCTTTAGTTATTCGATCTTTCGTCAGCTATAGAAAGATGAGATATGGCTACTCTTGTATTTGTTTATGTTTCATTGACTGGCGACGCTTCGACGACTATTGGGCAACGTCGTCTAGGGTGGAGACACCACTACCTGAGCCACATGTTTGCCAATTAAACGAAAACAAACTCTAGATTCAGATTTGGTAAACATCCGAATCAACTTTTCACATGAATCAACTTTACAATCGTGTGTTTATTTTTATTGCCACTCGCAATCTTCCGTTTTTTGTTGATAAAAACAAAAAGTTAGGAGCTGGCTGGAAATGAAAAAAAAGTATACCTTCAGCTCTGTTTTAGGAGAGTCAATTTCAATTACGAATCAGGCCACAAATTGAGTTAATAGGAATTATAGTAGAATATATTTCTTGTATATCGAATGGTAAAATGGATTAGCTGGAAATTTTCATCAACTATTTTGGTCTATCATAAGCAGACTACATTCAATTAGGTTTTTTTTTATCTAACCATTCTCTGGTCTATAGAATGGGTTCTATATCAAACTTGCATTCTGTTTTATATCTGTAAAGGATCTCAATCATCATTTAATCTACATATATAATATTATAGAACATTATCTTCTCTAATTGTCTTTCAATTCTATTATCTTCTTCTATCTATCTGTCTTTCAATCATATATCTGTCTATATGTATATGTAAGTACTACGCTTCATCTACTTTATCTATGTGTTGACATATCTATCCGTCCATTGATGCGCCTCTCATACAAATTTCTTACTGTCTACCTATCGACCTATTTGTCCTATCTGTCCATCCATATTCATCTATAATATTATTATCCACTATCGATCTTTATATAAACATATCAATCTACTATCTATTCTTTCATAATTTAATCCAAATTTCCCGTAGTTTCAGGAATAAAAATGAGAATATTACATTTTAATTTTAATTTCAACATATTTATTGATGTAATTCAAAAAATTAAATATAAGTTATCGTTTATAATTATTACGGCTTACAATGCAAACATTTATTTGCAGTTTTGCGTTTTTTTTTTTAAATTTTTGTGTTTTTTTTTTTTTTTAAGGTTTTTGTTTTCATATATTTTTCTCCCCTCTCGCTTGGCCTAGCGCTCGCATGTTTTATTTATTCAGATTTTTATTGCGTTTTATGTCTGTTTTAGTGAAATCAATATCAATATATATATATATAT